GAGCACATAGATAGTCTGTTGTTAGTTGCTATTTATCGAGGCGAGAACATAGATAGTGTCTTGTTAGTTGCTATGTATCGATGCGAGAACATAGATAGTCTGTTGTTAGTTGCTATGTATCAAGTCGAGAACATAGTGTTTGGTTAGCTGCTATATTTATCGAGACGAGAACATAGATAGTATGTTGTTAGCTGTTATGTATCGAGACGAGAACATAGATAGTCTGTTGTTAGCTGCTATGTATCAAGTCGAGAACATAGATAGTCTGTTGTTAGCTGCTATGTATCGAGACGAGAACATTGATAGTCTGTTGTTAGATGCTATGTATCGAGACGAGAACATAGATAGTCTGTTGTTAGCTGTTATGTATCAAGTCGAGAACATAGATAGTCTGTTGTTAGCTGCTATGTATCGAGACGAGAACATAGATAGTCTGTTGTTAGTTGCTATTTATCAAGTCGAGAACATTGATAGTCTGTTGTTAGTTGCTATATTTATCAAGACGAAAACATAGATAGTCTGTTGTTAGTTGCTATTTATAGAGACGAGAACATAGATAGTCTGTTGTTAGCTGCTATGTATCGAGACGAGAACATAGATAGTCTGTTGTTGGATGCTATATATCGAGACGAGAACATAGATAGTCTGTTGTTAGCTGCTATTTATCGAGACGGGAACATAGATAGTCTGTTGTTAGCTGCTATGTATCGAGACGAGAACATAGATAGTCTGTTGTTGGATGCTATATATCGAGACGAGAACATAGATAGTCTGTTGTTAGATGCTATTTATCGAGATGAGAACATAGATAGACTGTTGTTAGCTGCTATGTATCAAGTCGAGAACATAGATAGTCTGTTGTTAGCTGCTATGTATCGATACGAGAACATAGATAGTCTTTTGTTATTTGCTATTTATCAAGTCGAGAACATAGATAGTCTGTTGTTAGCTGCTATGTATCGATACGAGAACATAGATAGTCTTTTGTTAGTTGCTATTTATCAAGACGAGAACATAGATAGTCTGTTGTTAGCTGCTAAGCATCGATACGAGAACATAGATAGCCTGTTGTTAGCTGCTATGTATCGAGACGAGAACATAGATATTCTGTTTTTAGTTGCTATATATCCAGACGAGAATATAGATAGTCTGTTGTTAGCTGCTAAATATCGACACGAGACCATGGATAGTCCGTCGTTAGCTGCTGTTGTTAGCTGCTATATATCGAGACGAGAACATAGATTGTCTGTTGTTAGATGCTATTTATCGAGACGAGAACATTGACAGTCTGTTGTTAGCTGTTATATATCGAGACGAGACCATAGATAGTCTGTTGTTAGCTGCCATGTATCGAGACGAGAACATAGATTGTCTGTTGTTAGCTGGTATTTATCGAGACGAGAACATAGATAGTCAGTTGTTAGCTGGTATGTATCGATACGAGAACATAGATAATCTGTTGTTAGCTGCCATGTATCGAGAC